GCATCCTGTATCACCATCCACCCATTGTTTTTGCTTTTTACTGTCTTCTTTCAAGTTTCATGTAGCCTCTTCAGCCTTGGGGCTATGTCATTCTATCTACTGACTAGTACATTGGATTCTGATACTGCCTGGGCTTTGAGGACACTGCTGTAGAACAAATCATCATTGTGATCAATACCTGGGAAGCTGTGACATTGTTAGCTGTGAGCTTGGCTCAATGACTCCATTAGTGCCATCAATATACATCCAATGGCCATGTGAGCAGCTATGTGATGTAGCAGCAGTCACTTCAGAAGAATCATTGACTGACTCAGTGCACAGGCACAGAACTGACAATTAAATGAACTAACAGCTTCTATTTACTTTCCATAATCAATTCAAGCTACAGTGCAGTCATGCAGGGAAAGGTTAGGAACAGCATGACCAAGCCTGAGCCACAGCTCCCATTTCGTGGCACATTCTCTCCCAATACAGAGTTTTCCTGTCAAGGGAAAATAAGACATCTTAAAAATAATTTTTCACAGTTAATCTTAAAGGTACCCTTTCAGACATAAGGGAAAAGATTGTGGACAAGAAAAGTATGCAACAATTAAGTGGAGCAGCTGCTGAGTGGGCTGCAGATCTTGTTGCAGTGAGCAGAGAAACCTGCATCTAGAATGGAGTCTACTGAGAATCTGCATATAACCCATACCTGGGTCTGATTCTTTGCTGTCTTTCATGATAGGTATTTAGATCTGTGCAAAGACTGTGAAACATGGTCACTCTCAACAGACTTTTACAGCCACTTGGCAGCCCACAGACCAACACAGCGGAGAGCTGGTCCCCAGAGCTGGCACAGCAGCTCTGTGCCATTACATGCAGTAAAATCTACATTCATGTATGTATGCTTTTCCATGCTCCTCCTCATCCACTTTTTTTCTTCATCCTGGATACAGGAATTGTTTGTTTACTTTTCATATCCCTTTCCTATCTGAAAAAGGTACAGAACTCTTTAAAACTGGTAAAACACTAGGTCACACTGAAGTGGTTTTGTGAAACTCATCCAAGTTCCTCAGTACAATTGACGTGGTTTCCTTTTAACATAGATGTGGCAGAGTTGAATAGATTCCCTAGAGACTCCACAGTTATTTTCAGTAGCGACAAAGCCCATCCCGAACATAACTTTCAATCTGTTCATCCCTCTTTGAATACTAAGTAGAGCCTTTTCTTCTTATAATAATGTACTGAAATCAACTCTGTACATCAAAACACCTCCAGCACTTCAATACCACCTGATTTACTTTCCAAGATATGTGTCCTAATGCCACAATTACCTCCATTGTTGGATGAAGATCAGGCCAGAAGTATTGTACAATGCCTTTTATCTAGTCCTACCAGAATGGGAAGTTCCACTGAGAGATACACATTTATGTCAGGGGCAGCATATAGCACCTTGAAATTTAAAAGAAGCATTAATGAAGAGAGGATGCACCCAGAGGACAGCACAGATTTAATGCAAGCCAGAAAGTGTTTGGAGTCCTTAAAAAAAAAAATCTATTAACTTTTAAAATAAAGTGCCAACTTAGTAGTAGTTCTATTTAACAGCATCAGTCAAAAGCAACAACAGAGAATTTACAGGCCTTTATATTAAGTAAGTATGAGAATTCACCACCATTGGGCTTCTAACCCATTTGTATAGATACAGGATTTATGCAAATACAATGCAAGTTGAGTTTCGGCAAAGCCATGGTTATTATGGAAGCTTGATTTTCTCAGTATATATGGATTTCTCAGTATATATAGAACCTTGATTTTCTCAGTAACTGTGTACACATAATTTCACTAAAGTCTTACACTACAACAATAAAGTTTGGAAACTGTTTTCATGGTGTTCATGTTATTTTCTCCTGGACTGCAAGATTATTTTTAAGATGTATTTTTTTATTGTGATCACTCATTCAAACAAATGCATCACATATAGAACACATTTGTCTCACAATTCAAATGCTCCGAGTTTATACAAGAGTGTACCTGCTCTTTCCAACAATTTGCATGCAAAGTCTGAAAAATTTCTCTCCTACAAGGAAAAAAAATCCTACCCATATATATGCTAGACCCCTTTTAATGTCTTTTCAAAAAGAGATGGGTCTCAGGATAAAATGCAAGACATGAAAGGCCCGAAGACTGCATACCATTCTCTTGTGAAACAAGAGACATGATGCTCTGACAGCGCAGCCAGCCTTTAAGCATTACTATACGTCTGCAATCCAACCTGTCTTCAGTCCCACAGCACAGCTGCAGTCCCAGGGGGTGGTTTCCCCCAGGCCCATAATGCCAGGCTGGTTACTGGCTCTGACATCCCTGGCACCAGCCCTTTCACTATTCTGCATGTCTCACCCCTTCTCTGAGTGCAAGTATCTGAGCGCCGGTGGCTGATCAGCCACAGTACCCAGCACAGAGGCACCGTGATGACAGTGCATACCTAGAATGTAAAAGGGCATCTGAATAACTTACCCTGACAGATAACAGAGCCAGTTAAAAACAGCAACACAATGTATGTGCAGCTGTACAGAAATCTATAACAAAGAAGTGCAGCACTATCCTGCTATCTCTGCTCACAAGAGAATTTCTACTGACTTTGCTGGGCACTGTATCAGTTAAAAAGCAGCAAATACACAGTATTTTGTTGTTTTAAGAGATTTCTCAGTTGCATGACACGTTCATTCAAAAGGTTACTTCAGTTTCCTATTACTATGAATGCATTAAGCTAGGTTAAATAACAAGCACAGCATCACAAATATTCTTGACGCCATTTTGTTTATCTTCTGGCATTGAATTTGATATGAATAAAAACGTTTCAAAATTTGTGAAAATAATTTGTAAGCCAAGTATTATCATCATGGAAGCTCATAGAAGTGCTCATGCCTTGTACTGGAAAAATATGAATACCACAATGTATTTGGCATGATTACTGGGCAGAACAGGTCGTAAAAAACATTTAGAGTGGTAATGAATGGTTGTATTATTAAATTTCATTATATTGCTTAAGACAGCAAGTACATGGTCTCCTTCTATTTTTTAAATTAGTATCTACATGGACTTAGCTGTCCCTTGTTAAATGTCATGTAACCATTGACCCCAAAATGTAATCAATCAGCTGAACAATATAGAAAGATTTAGCATCTGTATACAACACAGCAGGCTTTTTGCAGTTTGTGTACCTAAGACGAAGTACCATATAACACCTTCAGTGATGCTCAGAAAAATGTGTCTTGAAAAGGAAATTAATTAGAATTACTTTAGCTGCCCTGTTCTAGGATTGCAGCCTAATGCCAAATTTTGCCAGGACACCAGTCCTGATCTCTGCCTATTCCTATTACTCACTGGGGGCAGACAGGAGATGCAGGTAGCGAACACTTCATTTTGCATACATTATTGACTTCTCAGTTCTCAGTTCACCATCAGTTTGACATCAGTAGGAACAGTGACCAAAAGAAGACAAGGCTTGGTGTGTGACCAGCACAAGAGACATTTCATTCTCTGACTGCAAAGGATTACATAGAACATTAAGAACCAATTTTTGCAAAACCCAACTAGTATACACTTTGTTGCAAACTTCTGAAAGCTGTACATCACCAATATTTACACTACCAACCATTTACTAGGCTCACCCTACCTCCCATAGCTTCACACGTCCTCCTTAGAAAGCCAGTCTCAATACAAAGGTCCCTCCTGCATACCCAACAAGTACACGATCAAGTACTGAAATAGCTCTCCTGCCTATTCTGTCCTAAAGAAACTATTAAGTTTTAATGTGCCACACAACCCACTGCTGACACCAAAAGCAACACTTCCAAGAACAGATTTTGTTCAACACCTTTGAGCCTTTGTATGACAAGATGTCAGCAGCCCTGATCAAGCAGTCATAGAATCACAGTCCTAGAATGGTTGAGGTTGGAAGAGACTTCTGGCAGTCATCTGATTCAACCATCATGCTCAAGCAGTGCTACCTGAAGCAGGTTGCTCAGGACCATGCCTAGATGGCTTCTGACTATCTCCAAGGACAGAGACTTCACATCCTCTGAGGGAAACCTGTGCCAGTGTTTGACCACCCTCACCGTGAAAAAGTTTATCCTGATGTTCAGACAGTTCCTTCTGTGTTCTAGTTTGTACCTGTTTGAGTCTATAGCCTGATTGAGATAACAGGGAACAATAAGCTGGGGTACTGGGCAGAGTTGCAAGACAAGCAGGCATTGCTATATGAGAAGACAGAAACTACTCCAAACTTTTCTATGCACAATTATAAGCTCCATACACATAGGGACCAGATTTTCACTTCTTTAGTGGTCCCATCATGAGGTTTGTGATACAGCTTCTGACAAGCACAATTTGCACTCTTCATGCTCTCCTATCCCTATCAGAAGATCAGCCTCAATCTCTGTAGTGTAGGGCATACTTAAATAAATTAGAGTGAAACTTCTGCAAACTGTCATCTGGAAGGGGCCAAAAAGCCTAATTTTCTGCATTACAGAAGCTTGGGGGCAGGAGTTTGAATCTTTGTTCTGTTTTCCTTTTTTTTTTTTTCTTCTCTGGTAAAATATCAGTTTAATGTTTTTGGAAAGATTTTTCCTTCTTTTTTTTTTTGGTGAGCATATCATCAAAGCCTATTAATGTAATACTTGCTATCGTTCATTTACTGGAGAAAACTCGTTAAACACATGTCACTTCAAAACTGCGTGACATAACATGAAATTGAAATGACCTTTATTTTGGCACGCTACTGCACTGAGTTAGAGTATTACTAAGTCCCAAGCATTGCCTGTTTACGAATGCCAGTCAGGCTTCTACTATAGCTCTAATGTGCTCAGAGATTGTACAGCCAACAAGCAACTGTAACTAACTGCAAAAAGGGAAGTAGCTGTGAATCCACAGCTTACCAGACAAAAAGTCACTACCCTGAGACAATAGATTATGTTGGAAATTTGACTAAACAGAAGTGGAAACTTTGACCAATTACTCACTTTTGTCAGATGCTGTTTCAGTGTTTGGCCTCCTGTCTTGCAATCCGTGAACTTGCATCTTGGGTCTAGGTTACTCCTTCCTATCCATATGGTTCTCACACCAAGTCTGTAAGAGTGACAGCTGAATGAGTCACAGTCATGCTTAACTTCAAGCACAAAGGTGTCTAATTCTTAGTCTTAAAAATGCTGGACTGCACCATAAAAAGCCACAGGCTACATCACAGATCTTCAAAGCACTGCCACAGAGTGAACAGATGTGTATGTCAACCCTCTTGCACCCACTGTCCCAGTTTCAGGACTCAGCATAGTCAAACAAGAGTCAGATTTCCACTAATTTCCTGAGGTTGCTCAACAGCCTTGGACAGCATCAAATGGATGCTGTGGATCACTAAGTTTCTGTCCCCTGGACCTTTTAACACACATTCAGCCGTCCCCCTTTCTCATCAGGGGACTCCTGAAAGGTGCTGAGCTCCAAGACAAAGCACAACTGATTCTTATGTATGTTCCAACAAGGGCCTCCATGACTATAGCAAATGCAGCATTTCACTATGTCCAACTGAGGTCCTTCTCCTGAGGCCTAACAACACAAAAGACATTCTGTAATAACTCCCTTTGAAACCAAATTAGTAATGTTTCAAGGCATGACCCGTAAAGGGCTGCTGTCCAGAATCTACATGTGTCTAACAGATACATCTTTCACCTAACAGACCTCTTCAAGATTACAGATGGAATCAAGATGTGCTAACAGAGCTCCAAAAACAGAGCCATGGGGTATCAGGATACACAGCAAAGCATTCTATCTCAACAGATAAAAAGGAAACAATATCAGATACAGTGTAAAGTAGTTCACTCCAGCTGTCACGACATGCTCTGACACCATTATATAGGTGAGATTATTGCAGAGGAAGATGCTATTCCATATGAGCAAATGCTAGCAAAATATAGCCAGAGTGAACTATATAGACCTGTGCCATCTCCTTATAAAGGTTTTACAAAGTCATAATCTCCTTTTCACATATGTCCATACACTACAGAATGCTAAAAGTTACTGCAGGCTGTAGCTGTATATACCCAGGTACCCTGGTGGGCTGGAGACTAGAGTCTTGTCATGGTTTAAGTGGTTCTGAGTTACCAGCTGAGCTTAAACCACAACAAGTCTTTACAAAGCAGCTTGTTTTTACCTAGCCAGCTAGCCGTTTGTTAGGTGAAAGACTAAGCTTGGTAACTTATACACAATGTGCATTTGGTTTCAAAGGGCTAATAAAGATCGGGGACAACATTCTGGCAATAAACACTAGTGTACCTCATGGCACAGAAATTGTGTGTTGAGGGTAAAACAAAATAAACAGAAAAGTTAGAAAAGATGAATTTTCAAGTTTACCATGATGAATGTGTTATTTGCCAGAAAAGTAACAACCCCATTTTCCTGCAGGGTGAATCTCTGGAGCAGGAGTATAAAGATGAGAATCCCTTTCCACAGTGTATGAAAATGAGAAAGCATTTGGTGGTTGGCCATTCCAAACATCCAAAGGTCCCATTTGACCGTATAGAGAATTAATTTAAAGCAGGGCAACTTCCTAATGCAGGCCAGGCCTCAGCTCCATAATTCATTTTCACATAAATTATGGAAGAAAAAGAAATCACAGTAGTATATCAAAACCCCCTATAACAGCCAAATAAAATGAAACACCTGTGGGCAGGAACTCCACCAGCTACTTCTTGTTGCCAGTGTCTCCCATGTGAAAAGGGGACATGACTAGAGATGAACTATGTATATTATACAAGATGAAAAAGTCCAAGGCAAGGCCCTAAAAACAGGTAAATTGTGCAATCTGCACTACGTGTCAGGGGCAGCCACTTCTGAAAAGAAAACAGATACTTCAGACTAGGATTAGGCTAACACACCACAGAGACATGCCTGTGATTGACAACAGGAGAGTTCACTGATGGTATAACTTAACTTATATCAGACTGCAAGTGGCTTGTTTCCTCAACGACCTTCACATCCTCTCTCTGCTAAAACTGGGAACAGGAGTCATTTCAGGAAATTGAACAAGTTGTTGCCTTCTCACAAAAAGGACAAGGGAGCGTGCAGCATCACACAGTTCTGAGATAAGATTATAGCCAAGATTTCACCTAACCTTTCACTTATCAATATTTTCAGCTGCATTTGATTACTTAAAAATGCTATAAATCGCTGACTAACACGATTTTCATGGTTTTTTTCCATGAAGTTCCTTTTGTGACCAAGGAGCTGTCACAATGATTACAGACTATATGCAAATGCCATCCTGATAACTGTGACATACCCCTGAGACATGCACAATATAAGATTCAAATCCTGATACGAAGGACCAACCCAAAGGAGGTGGGGAATTAGCTTGCTCTCTGTGTTCAAGAAGACCTTCCTGCTGGGACTGTGAAAGTGGTAACTTGTCAGATTGACTTTGGTCATTAACAGCTGTCCCTCAGGACAGGAGTGAGAAATTCAAACCACTATCACTAGACTCTGATGATGAATAACTTAGCACATGAATCCTAGTGAGGCTGCAGCTCTCTCTGATGTATTATAAACCTAGTCAAACCTTTGATTAAGGAGTTAATAAATGAATAGTAACCTCATCATTCTCATCAGTGTATCTGCAGCAGCAGCAGAGTAAACACCCTCCCATTGTATCTGAAGCTAGTAACTAGGAGTAACTAGTATTTTCCATGTGACTTGTAGATAAGTTTGGCCCTGGAAACTGTGCTGTTGAAGCAGTGGCTTAAACACTAGTAGAGGAAGAAGAAGACCAACAAAAAGGAAAAAAAAAAAGCATACAAAAAACCCAACACATTAAAACTAGGACTAAAGCCTAGAGATCAGTCTGTCTCATAACTGTCACTCAGGTTAGGGAACATGAGCCGATGCTTACACACTGAGTTCCCCCCTAGAGTGGTACCTCTTTCTTTTCAGTTTATCATGACACATTTACAGCTTTGTCTTTCAGCAGTCCCTACAGAAACTCCAGGGATCCACACTGACCCTTCACGTTATTTTTCTTGTGCTACTACTGCTTAGAGCCAATAGAAAATATTCAGCAAGGAATTAAGAGTCTGTGTTGATGTGATTTCTGTCATCCCTATATATCCTGGATTAGGTTAAACATATTCTTTCCCCCCTTCCCTGCTTCAGCACTGCTTCCAAATGTGTATGGTATAGAAGTAAGCTTGCATTACTACATCTGTACTAGAAAACTGAACCAGCCTGGGACTGCTCTTCATGATTACAGCTACTGATTGCACACAGTTCCTATTCATAAAATTTAACCCTCTTAGCCTCCAAAACAACATGGTCAGCTATGTGTTCAGAATTGGTCCCTGGTTGGAATTAATCCCTGAACAGTGCCCATAAATTATTTGGGAGAATCCTAGTTGGCACAGGTCTAAAATCTGCCAAGGATTCTTCTAATGCTTTAAGTGTAGACAATGCAGTGCCTGGGAATGTTTCCTCACATTTTTTTTAGTAGTAAAGACATTGCTGTAGAGAACAGAAAAAGAAACAAAGTCATACACAATCCAGTCAATGTCTAGTGCTTTGGTTTTACAGTTGCTTTCTTTTGTTTTCATTTAAACTCCTGGTCAAAACCACCTAACAACCCACCAATATCATATCCTACTGGTTTACAAAACTACTTAATGCTTCTACAAACATCCTGATTAGCTCTAAATGTACTATCAAAATTGATTATATTAGACACAATAAACACTATGCGTACATATTATACAATCACACCCATAAATGATACAACCCTTTAAGACCAGAAGGGGTCTATCTGTCTTTCAAACCTCCTTGGAGAAAGATAAGAGACTGAGTCTTTCCTAAGGGGGTACCCAAACTGTATTGTCAGTAGATTTTAAAGAGAAAATGAGTTATATTAGAAAGCAAGCAAGCATTTGCAGCTCTCTACTCAAGGACAGAGTTTCCCTACTCTTGTCTGAATGCGACAGGTCCAATATTAAGATCACCGAGATTTGGTTATTCAAGCATGTTGAAGGCCAGGTTGGACACGGCTTTGAGCAACCTGGTTTAGAGGAAGTTGTCTCTGGCCATGGTAGTGGGGGTGGAACTAGGTGATTGTTAAGATCTCTTCCAACCCAAACCATTCAATGATTCTGTGATGATTGTACGGTCACTTTTGACGTAGAGTCGATCTGTTCCTGTTCAGTTATGCAGCTAGGCCACATCAACCCTCAGTTTCACTGTCCTTTCTCAAACAGATACGCAGACACAAGGACAGTGGCTTTAAATCCTTACAGGGTGGAAAAGATCTTCTGTGCTCAGAGACAAAAATCCCTGTCTCTCCCTGGTATCATTACACAGTAGCAATAACTCCAAAGTGTTGTGACCACATTTAGCTTTATGGAATAAAACATAACAAGCTGTCAAAATGTTCATAAATAAATTAGAGTCATTATTCCAGCTTAAGGTTCTGGGGACATAAACAATCCTCTTGAAGTTTGCTGTGACATATTTTGCAGTGGGAGCCAAGCATTAAAATTATGTCCTGTATACAGAGAGCTGTAAATGCATTCTGTCTTAGGGCCTGGCACCACGGCGCAGAAATCAACAGGCCTGCCTTGGAATAGAAAATAAAGCAGTCCAGGGCCAATTTCCTGCCCCTGAGCACAAGTTTTATGGCAAAGCCGATGTCCATATGGCTAAACTCTGTCCTTCTGCTCACTCTCCAAAGAGGAGTCCTCATCCATATCTGCCAGCTTGGAGTAGTCCCTGGCTCATGCTGATGCCTTAACCCATATCCTGACACCACTGCAGAGAGTGCTGCCTGGTGCAGACAAAACCAGGCAAGGGAATGTGATAACAGTTAAACACCACAGGTCACAACATGCCACGGTTCCTGGCCTTGTCCAGGCTACCAACAGACATATTCTGGGACTTGTGCTAGGATATTACCCTAAAATATGCTTACCTTTCCATAAGTGACTTCCAGTTGCAGAATAAGAAATGTGGTGACATCCAACAAAAAGCATAAGGAATGAAGACATATATACATTTTGTTTGTAGAAGGACATAAAAGAGCCATACCAGGTAAGACCACAGATCCA